AATGTTCCGTTTCCCTTTGAAATTGCTTTCCATTTACGCATTGCATTCATTTTATTTTTTTTAATCTGGGGGCATCGTAACAGTTTCACTAGTTAAAAAGGGAAGGGAGGCAGGCCAATGTGGTGGCTGGTAGAGGGCCACGGCAGGTGAAGTGCTGATGTGAGATAAACAGAGTCAGGATTTCAAAAAAGTCAAGATGCTGGCTGGGAAGGCATTGCAAATAAAAACCAGGCAGAGCTTTGACTGTATTCTTGTCGTCACCATCTTCACTTTTTTGGCCACATCCTGTAGACATCCCTGCCTAGGTTCTTCCTTGACTTTTCCAAGGGAATGTGTTGGCTTTTTCCTTGTTTTATCAACCATCTTTAGCCTGTTTCCTACTCCAAAATGGCAGGACACCATTCCACCACTTTTTGCCTATAGTGGTAGCTTCCAAAGCTAGGTAAAGAATTGGGTTTAATTCTGAATTAATTCATTCTCGTGTTCTATCTCAGCCACTATCTCAGTTGCAGCCAGTGTGAATTAAAAGGTTCAGTATGAATTTCAGGTTAATATGATTTTTCAGAGAGGTGAAACTTGGGCTTCAGCTGAAAAGAATTCAAGAGCTAAGGAATTTATCCAAATCAGATAGCCTGTGCCCAGTTACTCAAGCCTGGAGTTAACTTTGCATCAAATAAAATACTTGGACAGCGTCGCTTTATCATCCCTAATTGGACAGGATCACCCATATCACTAATTCATATCACTCTGGGGACAGAAGAAAAGTCTTCTGTCCCCAGAAGAAAAGTCTTCTGTCCCCGAAGATTCAAGGAATCTTATGGCACCTTAATCACAAAACTATTTATTGTCGCATCAACTTGTCTAGCTGACACCTCTCAGGTGAAGAGGATCCACAAAAGCTCATACGACAGTAAACATGGTTAGTCTTGGTTGGTTTTGCATCAAGAAACTCCCAAGGTCACCTCCTAAGAGAACAAGAGAAGCTGTACCCAGGAGGCGTCATGGCACAAACCCTAATGGGGAAACAATAAACATTTGCAGTGGGAAGCTGTTGCTTCATGAAAATAGCTCGTTTTGATCCAAAAATCTGAAACTGGTAGATATTTGGCATTGGCTTAATCCACTGCCGGTACATTTTGACTTAATGGCTCTTTTGATAGAAATCACATTTTCAGCTCCCACAACAGTTTGGTAAATAGGCTAATAGGGAGAAAGAGCACGGATGGAATTAAATCGCACCCAGCTGTTTGGTTTTGTGGGGAACACATTTGCGACCAATTTAGAGATTTTATTTCATATTTTGCTGTCAAATCCTACTGAGAAGAAATGTACATTTTGTTTTTTAAAAAAAAAGGAATGGATGGAATGGAGTGGAGTGGAGTGGAATCAGGGCAGAGCAAGTCATGTCAGTCCAAACCCAGCAGTCTGAGAACCTAATTACGCTAATATGATCAAGGAAGGAAAACTACAAACTTGGAAGAACACATTATAAACAGCAACATAATATATTAATCTATTGCATTCACAACATTTAAAATCTCAGCCTGTCATGCAGGCTGGAGGCTGTCGGGTCATTTGGTGGCAACTTCACTTTCTGTCCAGACCTTTCGGAAAGTCCACCTCCCATGAATGAGATTAAGTCCTAGGCAAGGCCATTTGGGGGGGGGGGGCTTGGGGAGGAGCAATGGAGGTTGCCATCTTAGATTCTGCACTACATGCGGAGCCCGTGCGAAGGAATGTTTCACCCTTTGAAATGACATGGGCAATCCATGCTTTCCGTTCAAGGCTGAGCTGTTGAACTAGAATCCCAAGATTTGTTTCAGAAAGTTGGGCTTGCCACCCGCTTCCATTGACTAGCCCGTTGACGGCAATGGGCCAGAAACAATGGAGGAGGAAAAATGCAGATTGACTGGGGAGGCAGAAAGAAGGGAGCTGAGTGGGATATTCTGCCTCCAGGTCTCCAAACTGGAAAAGAGCCTGTGGCGATGCTGTGCCCGCTTCTGCATATGCTGCTGAGTGCCTTTCGAAGAGTGCCTTCAGGAAACCAGCATGCAACCGTTTTCAACTTGCGAGTCGTATTCTTTTATGTTGAGTATTTTGGCCTGGTAGAGAACACTTAGACTTGTAATTTGGCCCCACTTCCAAGCAAAGAATTCCATTAGCAAAAATCTTCCATTTTGCTTCCAGGGGCAGAGATGTCTGTGGGGAGGATCCAGGGGGAAGCAGATGACCAAAATAGCCTGATGACAAAGCAGTGCAAGTTCTGCCCTTTGAGTGTGAGTTGTGGCATTGCACGGGTATACAAAAGGGCAGAGCTTGCATCAGGCTGGTGTCACACTGCTTTCAGAATGTTCAGAAACACACTGGGCCCTGTGGATGTCTGGCTGGGGCCAGGAGATGGCTTATGTGTTGCTCGCCCTTGCTTTAGGGGGCGGGCGTGCAACTGGAATCATCGTTCTAGAAAGGAGGCTAGGAACCTGTTTGATAACGGGCTAGCAATGAAACTCCTGTCCGTCTCCAGCTGCAGGGAGGCAAGATGAAGCCATTGCACTCTGAATTATTTCACCCTGTCCCATGTTGGCTTGCTTTGAGGGCTGAGCCAAAAAAACTGAGCTCAAATGCCCTTTTGATTAGTGGGCAGGGGAAGTGAGGGGAGAACTCTCCAAATTTCTCCAGAGGGGGAAAAAGCCCTGCAACCGTTTCTCAATGATAGGACTTTCCGGCTAGCAGGGAGGATGGGAGTTAGTCTTGGCCTCCATTTCACTTTTCTTTTTCATCCTGACTGTGTGTTTTTCCTGTTTCTCCATCCGTTTTTGAAATGTTTTATAGGAGCCCCTTCAAAAATCTGTACATGTTTTGTGGATTCCACAATCCTGGTGCTCATAGTTTTAAATGTTCTTTTTCTAATATTATGCATCATTGAATAACTTTGTGGTGGTTCAAGAAAACGCATTACAAAATTAGGGGGGGAATGATGTTGATCTTTTAAGTGTTTTAGAAGTGCAGCTGAAGCAACTTCCTAAAAAAATGGCAAAGTGAATGAACTGCTGTCTTCTACCCAAATGTTGTCCTTCATGTTTACAACTGCTGCCCCTTGTTCGAGACTTTTATTAATGATTAAGAGGTAAAAAATGCAGTGCTGCTTATTATAAACATGCACAATTCAATGCCATTAAAACCCGAATGATTTCATTCTGAAAACGAAACTCAAGATTTTGTAGCCTGCTTGAGATGGTTCTTCTTTAATGGTCCATATGTCACCTTGTAATGCTGGATGTGGCCTTGAAAACTTGTTCAAGATTCATTTGCTCTTCTCTGGCCAAAAAAGCAGGACCGTTTTTTGCAAGGTTCTCATCACTCCTGCATTAGAGCTGCTACGAAAACATACCGAGTCTGCAGCTTGGCACAAATGGCCTTTTAAAATTCTCCACCAAATTTGGGGGCAGAGAAATCAGGCGGACTTCTGAATTTCTCTAAGAAAAAGAGAACAGTTCCATCCATCACAGTCGGGGAAGATTCCCTTGGCTGGAAACCCCCCACACACATACCTAATGGGGACAGGAATATCAGAATTGAAAAGCCACAAGGAAAGATATCATTTTGGATGTTTTTCCTTGGAATGTGTTTGAAATCAGGGAAGCCAGATGGTCTGTAGCTTGTTGGAGAAAGGATGATACAAAGAAAGTCTGGTTGACTGGTAATTACATCAGGGCAAACTCACCCCATTCCACCCATTAAAAGATCTCCAGAATTCTCTTTTCCTTTGAAAGAATTTTGAAAGCAGATTCTTTTTCAAAAATTGAATGTAAAACAGTTGACCTTATCAGGGGCATCCATGGGAAGTGGGGAAGGGGGGTATGAAGATATCAAGATGGTAGCCATGGCCATATGGTTGTGACTGCCATTTTGACTTTCTTGAACCCCCAATGGAGGTTCCTGGATATCACTCATATATTGATGGATTATTAAAAGTATAGATTAATTGAGAAATGGGGTGGGATTAAGAGAAGAAATATGCTAGAGTTACAGGGTGATTTCTGTATTTCTTTATCTGATTGATTAATTTATAGAATTATAGAATTTATAAGGCTACCTGTCTCACCCTAATGACTCTGGATGGCTAACAATACAGTAAACATAAAATAAAACAGAATAAAAACAGTATACTACAGTGCAACCAAGCCTACAAGTAAAATTCTCCCATAATATGTCCTAAAACGTGTATGCAAGACCCAATTATCATCCTGGCACTAATGTCTTAGGGGAAAGGCCTTAAAGACCTTTTGGAAGGTCTTCAAGGTCTTCCATAAAACTAACAGGGTCAGGGCCATCCAAACATCGGATGGATGCTGCTCCATAAGGCAGTTACTGTCACAGAGAAGGCACTCTTCCTGGATCCAACCAGGTGACACTGTTTAATAGAAGGGACCTGGAGCATATCTACTGTGCCAGAACTGGTGGGATGGGCAGAGACAGAGACAGGTGGCCCTGCAAGTAACCTGGCCTTGAGCCATGTAGGGCTTTCTAAGTGATGACCAACACCTTGAATTGCCTACTGGAAGCCACTGCAGCTTGCAAAGCAGTGGTGTTACAATGGTGTACTGTGTGCATCCAAAACTGCATGTGTCATTGTATTCTTGACCAGTTACAGCTTCTGAATGCTCTTCGAGGGCAGCCCCATGTACAGTGTGATACAGTAGTCCAATTGGGAGGTGATTTGTCCATCCCTAAATAAAACAGACTTTGATCTGGCAAAGGCAGAACTATTAAACTACTTAAGTGACTCTGCTTTCTGCTAAGGTTAGCCCTTGCTCTCCCTCTTCTTAGATGCTCTCACCAAGGAGAACAATAGCTTCATTCATTTGCTTTCTGGGGCCAGGATCAAATCTGCCTCATTTTTTCCACAAGTCCACAAACTTAAGAAGAGAAGCTGAAGAGCTAAAGGAGAGAAAACCCATTTGTTAGGAAGGAACAGGAGGCAAGCAGAAGAAAGAAATGCATGTGATGGATGTGGTGTGGGGAGGACCTTGAGTAGCAAGATCATCAAAGTGTGGCCTGGATGGACGGAGCACAGGTGGACTGCCTGCTGTCTAAACATAAGTCAAGTCTGCTAACGAGCACATCCCAGGGATGGCAGGACAGGGTCATTTGGTGGAACAAGGAAATATGCGTGTGTGGGGGGGGGGGGGGG